GTTATCTGTATCAGGTACTAGGCATCATCATCTCTACATGCAAAAACTATCTAGAGTATTTATCCGGAAGGCTTCGGTTTAATTTGTTTTATTTCAGCCTATGATATAAGTCAAGAGAAAATAATTAGTTATTTGCCTCTGTATTGACTGAAATAAAACCAAATCAAAATAAAGCCGTCGGCATTAGAACTACGCATATTGTTCGACAAGGTTTCGTTTGTAAACAGCGATTCTTTAATGAATTGATTCTTCTACGTTTTTTCGTGTTATTCCTCGCAAATGGCTTCTCTACATGCAAAAACTATATAGAGTATTTATCCCAAAGGCATCAGTTTCATTTGTTTTACTTTTAGCCTATGATATAGGCCAAGGGAAAATAATGATTTATTTTCTTTTAAAAAAAAAATAATCTAAATAAAGCCTTCGTTAGAACTATGCATGTTGTTCGACAAGGTTTCGTTTGTAAACACCGATTCTTTAATGTACTTATTCTTCTACGTTTTTTCGTGTTATTCATAGCAAATGGCGTCAAAAGATGCCAAATCGGTTATCAATAAGCTGGATTGGTACATTAAAGAAAGAAAGAAAAAGAGGAAAAAAAGGGAAAGAAAGAATGCGATGCGCGAGGAAATAACTATCATCTAAACTAACATTATCTTATTCTACATGTTGTGTAATCCAATTTAAGAATCGTTCTCAAATCCGTGCAAAAAGAGTTTTTTTATTTAATTAAATTGGAAGGCGTAATGTGCTCGGGAAAAAAAGGGAAGAAACTGAAAACAGCGACACTGTAAGTTAAAATTAGCAATAAATGCCGCCGCTGTTTTTTGTTTCTTTAAGAATTGCTTCGCTCTGTGATTGGTCCAGAAAATTTCGATAGTGACTAACGCCTTTCTCTCAACTAATCAGTTGCAAAACACAAACCACTCGTACGGTCGCCCGCGCTTTCCTGCGTGTGGGCCTGTTTGTTGTACTCTGAGCACTCTTTGATCTGGAGTGGGCCGTTCTCATTACTTTAGTTTTGATTTTTTGATATTCGAAACTGACTCCACAAACATAAAAACCTATTGACATTGTTTTACGCTCTGCCGAGCATCCCAAATTATTGAAATTACTACCACAGCGGCTGGCATTTGTTGTATGTGTAATTAATATGAAAGTGATCCTAGCAGTTATGAGCGCAATTTTAGTGGTAGTGAAAATAAGGCCTGCAGAAAATTTAGGTCCTTACGGGATTTGAACCCATAACCTCTGCGTTACCGTAAAGCGCTGGACCGGTATTGCAGTGGTCATGGGTTCAAATCCCGTACGGACCTGAATATTTTTTAGATCTTATTTTCACTACCATTTAAATAGTGTTCGTAACTGCGAGGATCGCGTCCACATCCGTCTCTTCAACCGCAGTTCACGTACATGATTTTCATCTATTTACAGTCATGAATGTGTTCGTTTTCTTCCTGCGCGTAATGAATCTTCCGAATTGAGTACTACTCCCATAATTCGACCGTATTAAACCGATAAAATATTCATGATACTGTGGACTTAAAAACACTTTTTTGTCCTCCAGCGCTGCAGGGGTACAGAATTTAGATTCGAATCTGGTATGGTAATTGGCCGTGATAGCCTTTCATGTCTGAAAATATAATCACCATATATAATTTAGCATCTTTTGAAACAATTTTCGTGGGATCACACACATGTTATCGTATCGGCCCATCGAAGAATCATTGTTTAACTTCGCAACCATTTCGAGCCAAATAATCAAACTCCGTCCAAATTATAGGATGAAATGAAACAAATCAGGCCAGAGCGATCGGGAATAAAACTGAGCATATTTTGGGCATGTTGACATGATGATACTTCGAGCCTGATGCAACTGATGTTTAGAATTGTTTTAATACTATTGATTTCATATTTTGGCTAGTTAAACGAATTTAATTCTATAGTATTATCGAGAAGAGTATTTTTTTTGTCAGAGTCAAGCTAACGTGAAAAATATATACAAACTAACATATACATAAAAATATACATTTTGATCATTTTTGAAAGTTCCTTGTCATTCTTAGTCATGTTTCGACGGATTTTTGAATGGTTTGTAGTTATAGAGGGTTCTGAACTGTAAGTTCGAGCACGCCTACAGCTGTTATTGTTATCTCTTCATAACGATCAACAGAACTGTATATTGCAGACATTATAAATTAAGTCTAAGCAACAGATCCCACTGATTCCATACGACTGCATTTTCTTTCAGTTCTTCTTATTTGTTTCTACAGCAAAAACATGATAAGATCGCGCTGCAATATCCATTATTTCTTGGCGCAGGGTGAAGGTGACAATGTATGTTACAAGCGTACCATCATTATGATCTTCAGAACTGTTATATTGATTTGTAAATTTCTATCAATAAGCTAATTCTTACATTATCTCAAATACCCTTACGTTCTCGTCTTTTGGCAGCAAGTACATCTTTTATTGTGATGTTTTTTTTATCATAACTTATAACATATCCATCTGCTTACTAACCAGTCAGAGAAAGCATCTTTTCCAATTATATGGCGTTACATCAAATCACTATCTTGGATCCCATATAATTGGTTTATTTATATTACGTGGTACAAAATACTCTCTCTTTTATTGGTTGTGTATCATTGTGCACCCCTTCTGTCCTACTGGTGATATATAATATATATAAGTACATTAGCCAGAAGGCTCAATTTCATTTAATTAATTATTGATTAGTTTAATTATTTCAGAATGATCCTAGATACGAACATAGTTACAATGTTTATCTTTTTTTTATATTTCTATCGGTTTTGTAATCGAACCTTTCAGCGTCACCACGCGCATTTAAAAGCGAATTTAGCGTCCCCATAATCAGTTCTTCGTAGGTTTTTTAGCACTCTTGGTGAACTTTCGTCTTTTCGTTTCTTAAACCTTTGGCACAGGTGGGACCGATATGTGAGTAACTTTGTAACTTTGTTTTTCTAAGTTTAGTTTTCCAGCATTGGGCGAAAGTATACAAACAGATATTTTGTTGTATTGAAGTATTTTCAGTTGAATCGAGATTTAAAGGCCAAAATCGTTTCAGATGCAAGTGAACGCCCACCATTTAGATAAGAACGATAGGCTGTAAACAAGCCACCAAATTCTTGTAATTTTTGTACTCTAACGTACTTTGTATTGGTTTATTTGTTTTGTTTCTTGTTATTTTAATCTCGTTACCGACCTTAAGGCCTAGCTTTTTACACGTGATTTTTGATTGTGCATTTCGCAACATTTTATGAGATTGATAGAACTTCGTTGCATTATTGTTTTTGTTTACGATCGATTGATGGTGATTTTGATGGTGATTTTGATGGTGATTTTGATGGTGATTTTGATGGTGATTTTGATGGTGATTTTGATGGTGATTTTGATGGTGATTTTGATGGTGATTTTGATGGTGATTTTGATGGTGATTTTGATGGTGATTTTGATGGTGATTTTGATGGTGATTTTGATGGTGATTTTGATGGTGATTTTGATGGTGATTTTGATGGTGATTTTGATGGTGATTTTGATGGTGATTTTGATGGTGATTTTGATGGTGATTTTGATGGTGATTTTGATGGTGATTTTGATGGTGATTTTGATGGTGATTTTGATCGTTGATTGTGGTTCGTGGATTGCTTGCAAGATTAAAGATTCGTGTGAACGGTCAACTTTGGTCTGTTATATTTCAGTCTCGATTTGTAAAATAGCCCCCAAACACCTCGTCAATCGCGTCTTGGAGCGACACTGCTTGGAATCTTATGAATTACATTTTTGGTCGCCGGATGCGCTACACAAGATTTTCGTTCACAATTTCATAGAAGGTATTTTTGATGAAATAAGGGTCATAACTTTATTCTAAGAAAAACATTTCAAATGATAGGTACCCAAAACCATGAAATTTATCTTTAAATAGTCTTGGGGTAGCCTTGTGTTACTAACTTTCATTCTAGCATATATTTTGACGACTTACAGTGGCGCAAAATGGATTCGTTTTCCAAATACGCATTCTTTGTCAGGGTCAACATCACATCACAAAGAAAAACAACTAAGAATGACCAACTGAAATTCGACTACTTCCAATTGCAGAGAACAATCATGCACGTGGGTTTTTATGTTTAAATAGTTTTGATGGGACAGAGGAAGTTTCACGTTACTGAATTATTTTCAAATACATACGCTATAGTTTCCATAGCTTGCTATACAAAATATATTTTTTCAAACGAAAACTAAAACTAGTATTTTCCCGTCACCGGAAGTGTAAATGATGAAACTGAGCAAATAACCAAAGTGATGAACCTGACGATTTAAAAAAGGACTTTAAAATGAACTATTAAATAATTGTTTGTTATAAGGATATTCTTTCATCGAGGAAAATATATTTTGATCCATCATTTTTCCTTCTTAAAATATTCAACAAACGATCAAAAAGTTATTTTTTACAGAGTTCCTCGTCTTTTCCGCAAACTGATCGCCAGCAAGTAAGATTGCAAAAGGAGAGGGTGGAGAGGCGAATTTTAAAATGAAACAAAAGGTTTTTCTTCGACTGCTCAAGTGGGAATTTTCTCCAAAAAAAATATTGGACAGGTTGATAATTATTATACTATTTTTTCCCGAAATTTCGAAGCTGTAAGTCTGTCCTGGCTAAATGTTTTGCAAGATAATCTATCACAAGTTTACTAAGTACGTTTTTATTTAGATATTTGTTTGTTGGCATTATTATCATTTGGACTTCACCAGCTGTGCCCTTCTCCTTTTAGATTTTCAGACACTCCTTCCAGTTAAATCCAATATTTTTTTTTCCATGAGAACGCCCGCCTTCTTCTCCGCAGGTATCACAGATCTGATGTACTTCATATGGCTAGTCGACAGACTTCATTTTTACTGAACTGTTTTTCATTTCTCAAATGTTCCTTAACATTGCCACTCAGCAGTGTGGAACTGGCGGCGACCTTTACTCGATTTATCAAATGATGCTCAAGGGCCACACCTATAAGACGTTCAAGTTTACACCAGGTACGCTGGAATGCAGAGAGGCTTGCCTCGCTGATGACAGGTGTCAAAGCTATAATGTGGTCATGTTCATTGCAATGTGTGAGTTAAACAACCGGACTAAAGAGGCCAGACCAGAGGACTTTGTCAGGAACGAAGACAGATATTACATGGCAAAAGATCTAAAAGGAGGTAATTGAACTTGTAAATAAAAACAGCAGGGCGTGCTAACGTTCATGGATTTTGCGTAACTAGCTTCTGATGTTGCTAACTTTCATTCCGCTAAAGTGTGATATTTCAATTTCAGTTTCCTTGGGATCAATTAGCTACAATAAGCACCATAAGTTTCAGTTTTTGAGAAATCGGCACAGCAATATCTTAAATTTGTGAAGTTAGGGAAGGAGTAGATGTATCATTCACCGATTGGAAATTGACCATTGTGTTTAATGGGTAAATGCACTTCTTCTTCAAAAACTAGGAGTATTTGACGCCTGGTATTTTTCGGAAATTAACCAAGTCACGGCATTTTTTTCTTGTAACTCGAACGCTAGGTCAAAGAGCCAGCTGGCTATGGTTTTTACAAGAGGAAAGTATACTTTTGATGTGGAATGCAGATGAATAATGTCATACGGCCGGATTTTTGGCATCAATCCCCTCTCAGAGGATCACCCATAATTTCATCGTAATCACGAAGATCATTATTTGGAAGATTGCCAGTTGAATGCCAAAATAAACCAAATGTAAATAATTTCGTCAAAACTGAAATTCTCACGAATTTTATTAAACTAACGCTTTTCCATGGTAACAGATTGAACATACAATTGGCCATACATAATTCCAATGACAAATTTTTCAGATATCGATACAACAATATCTTACATTGTGAATTTATGAAATGGGTGGACGTGCAGTCCACCAAGAGGTGACCATTGTGCTTGCTTGGTGAATGAATCAAAAGAAGGCCACGAGTGAAAGAGATAACGCCCTTTTGCCTCACAACGAGGAGTTTGTAAACCATGTTTTTCAACCATCGCAACTTGACCAAATGATGTGGCTCAAAGTCCACACCAGTTAAATCATATTGTTCTACATTGGGAAGCAAAGAAATAAATGCAGGTGAATATAAGCCTTACTGTTTGATTCGTTTTACTTTTATCTAGAATGTGGGCCTGTCGGTGTGGCAGACAAAAATGCAGTCTCAGATGCCAGAATGACAGCAAGCACATTCAGAAATGAAGGAAATAAGCCGCACTATGGCCGATTTCATGAAAGCAGGGGAAAAGGAGCATGGTGTCCTGCGACTAAAACTAACAGAACAGACTATCTTCAAGTTGATATGGGTACAATGCTGTCTGTTTGTGCTGTGGCTTCCCAAGGAAAAGAGGTATACTCTCAATGGACTACCAGCTACACACTATACCTATCCACAGACGGTGTAGTTTGGAACGCTGACAAGGAAACCAGCACTGCAAAGGTTTGATTGGCAACTATTAGTAATGATTATAGGACAGCCAAGAGTTACAACAGCAACCTACAAAATTGCACCACTGGAAGTAAAAGTGTGATTTGTTGCTATTCACGAGTATCATTACTGATTTGTGACCAATCTACCAGAACCATTGTCAAGTTAAAGATACAAAATGGCCATCAGAAAACGCATTCAGTTCACTTTATTTTATGGAAAAAAGGACCCAATAGTCCGCTGATAACCATCACGATTTTGAGATCTTTGCCAATATGTTGAGTTAAGCCAAATAGACCGCACTTGCCAACATTATCCTCTCTCTAAGTGATAAACTGAGGAGTGACGTTAACAGAGTTAATTAGCGAAGTGGTTTCATTCCAAAGTTTTAAGCAGCTCTCTAGCTTGTATTTCTTTCACTATTAAGCTTTTGCAATTATCTTCAGTTTTTTTTTATTGCGACAAGGTTTAAGAGAAAGGTTACAGTTCTATCATAGATTATTCATAAAGAGGTCCCCGTCTAAAGCTACCTAGATACCTTAACTGCAACATAAGTTTCCTGGCCAGCACTTGATGTAAGTTAGATCGGCTTCCACACCTCAACCTTTCCATAAAACATTTCCCTTTAAACTTGCATGATGTGTTGCCGAGCTACACTATTTTCTCGTTATGATGTATGCATTTTCTCCTCTTCCAGGTTTTCCCAGGAAACTCAGACCGTCGTAGCGTCGTAAAGCATTTCCTCACTACTGACATTATGGCCAGATACGTTCGGTTTTATCCCATCACCTACCACAATTTTCCATGTCTCAGAGTTGAAATATTTGTGCGAAAATGATGGCAATTATCAATTTTCTTTCTTTTTTGCAAAATTTAAATGTAGATAAAAAAATACTAAACAATGGGAACTGTCGATGCTTAAGCCAAGCCTGTCAATATTCAGTGTATTCAATATTCAACAGAATATGTCAGAAACGAAGCCTTGTTTTCCATTTAAACTAAAATGCGAGTTTAAGGTCAGAGTTACAATAAGAAATAAAGTCGTTTGTCTCACGACTAAGTGACTTCAGAAGTTGATATTCTTCTTCGGGCGAGGAGATAAACGATTATACTTCATAGAAAGAGTGTGTTGACCACGGTGACAAACTGTAACCTTTTTAACGATATTCACAGGGTAATGACGTTTAACAAGGATCAAAGATCCGATTTACTTCATATATCGTTAAAAAAATAAAATGCACGTGTGCTTTTCTATCACGAAATATTTTCAAGTGCGAAGAGTTGTCTTCTGATCGTCGTCTGGAATTTTAAGATATAGAAATATGTACAAGTAGAATGTTGACAAAAAAAAAATAGAGACACGTTAGTCACCCCTCGTTACAAGTAGGTGATATGAGGTATAGCCTGCTCTTCAAAAGTCCATTTGTTTTCGATGTATAATTTTTAGAACTATTGAATTTACTCTTAGAAATGATTGTCAATCTAATGCCAATACAAAACCTATTGGAGGTACAGCTGTATACAGCCGAATCCAAATCATTCTTGGTCAGATTTGTTGTTTCGTAAGGAATGGGCTATTGATGAACTGTTGCGATACAGAAGCTTATTATCTTTTCAAAGGTCTTGGCTTTGTCAATCAATACATAAACTATACAAAGTAAGCAATGTTCCTGTCTCCGAGCCCCTCCGTCGTAGCCAGACAAAATATTAGCAATTATATCAAAGTGTGTTTATCTTCTATTAAGATCTGTCCCTAGAATAACTTTGCCGTATGAAGTACAATACTAACATTCATACAAGCTAAATAATAAAAAAAAAAAACATCGAACTACCCTTAGCATCTGACTTAATAGAAAGAGACGATTTTTGATGAATAAAATTGAATCCTGATGTCTCATTTCAAATAACACTTGAGTATAGTATAAAATACTCCTATCACATAAGTCCTATCATGAAGAGAAGCTCTTTATCAAAAACTTGAACGAAAGCCAACTACCAACTAATACTCTATTAAGTCTGGTACATTAAAGAAAGAAGGAAAAAGAGGGTGGGGGGGGGCCGAGAAAGAAAGAATGCGATGCAGAAGAAAACAACTATCATCTAAACTCACATTACTTTACATTACAACTTGTGTAATCCAATTTAAGACTTAATCTCAAATCGGTGCAAAAGAGTTTCCTTTTTTTTTAATAAAATTGGAACACGTAGTGTGCTTGGGAAAAAAAGGGAAGAAAGAAAACAGTTTCCAATACGCGACATTGTAAGTTAAAATTAACGATTAATTCCAACGTTGTTTGTTTCTTTGTTTCTTTCAGAAAACTCCGACAGTGACTCACGCCATTCTTTCAACCAATCATATGCAAAACACAAGCCAATCGCAAGGTCACCCGCGTTTTCCCGCGTGTGGGCCTGCTTCATGTACTCCGAGTACTCTTTGGTCTTTAGGGCTGAAGTGGACCGTACTGATTACTTCAGTTTTGATTTGACGATATTCGATCGTAAAGTGCTTTCTTATTCTAGTAAGGGTCAAGCATTTGATGAGGAACAAGATGAAAGCACAGACTCTGGCGAGATTGAACCATTGCTAAGAAGCCGAGACCAGTCAGAATCTTACATAGGGGTTATATGAACATGTGACTTTGACTTGGCGAAAAGCGCACGTTCCTCAGTCTCTCGGACAAGCTTAAGGAAGCTTAGAAAACCAATTATTGTGATTTTCATCATTTTGTAATCTCATTTTCTCGGCACGTGTATTATTATTTTTATTTTGCCAATTTGCATAGAATATTTGGGGGATTTTCGACGGATTTATGACAGATTTATGAATGTTCTGTAATGTTATAGAAGGTTTTGGACTGTACGTTCGAGCACGTCTATAGCTATTATTGATATCTCTCGATAACGATCAACAGAACTGTATGTTGCAGACATTACGTCTAAGCAACAAATCCCTTCTAATTTCGTACGAGTGTATTTTCTTTCAGTTCTTTTTATTTGTTTGTTCTACAAAAACGTGATGTAATCGCGCCGCATTACCCATTGTTTCGTGGCGCAGGGTGAAGGTGACAATGTATGTTGCAAGCGTACCATCACCTTGATCTTCAGAACCGTTATTTTGATTTGTAACTTTCAGACAAGAAGCTACTTCTGGCATTATCTCTAATACCCTTAAGTGCACGTCTTTTAGGAGCAAGTACATCTTTTATTGTGATTTTTTTATCATAACTCATAAAATTTCGATCTCCTTACCAACCAATTTTATTCCAAGGGGTTCAAATAAACCGATTACATGGCGTTTCATCAAATCACCATCTTGGATCCCATGTTTGGTTTATTTTTCCACGTGGTACGAAATATTTTCTCTTTGATTGGTTGTGGATCATAGTGCGCCCCTTCCATCCTACTTATGATACATAAATATTCCAAGATTTTCGATCAAAATTTCATAGAAGGTATTTTTTTGTGAAACAAGGATCGTAAATTTATTCTAAAAAAACATTCTAAATATATAATAAGTACCTAAGACCATGCACGAAATTTATCCTTAAAAAGTTTTTGGGTAGCGCTGTGTTACTCACTTTTATTCTAGCATATATTTTTGACCTACTTACGGTGGCGCAAAATGAATTCGTTTTCCAAATACGCATTCTTTTTCTGGGTCAATGTAACTAAATAAAGAAAAACAATTAAAACTAACCGACTGAAATTCGACTACTTCCAGAGGAAGAGAACAATCACGCACGGGATTTTTATGTTTAAATAGTTTTAATGGGACTGAGGAAGTTTGACGTTACTGATTTTATTTTCAAACACATACACTATATTGAGCAGCGACTGACTTCCGCTCATGCAAAATGCAGGTGTTCTGAAGCGAATATTTTTTTTCCCTGTGAAAACGTAATTTAAAAAAAAACCTTCGCGACTATCGTTTTAAATGTTCCCCAACAGTTTCTCTCATCGAAAAGCTGACACCAAGATCTAATGAATCGACTTTACAAGATTTATTTCTATTCTGTTCGATTAGAGGTGAAGCCGTTACAAATACTAATGAACAGATAACAATGACAGCTGGACACAAGCTCCATGCACATAGATATGCTAAACAATCTAGAGCACGAAATTTATAAAGCATGTTTATAAAGTAGTCGTAGCATGATTAAGAAAGCATGGAATTTTCAGAGATATTCGCTGTTGAATATACTTCTCAGGGTTAAAGAATCTTTCGCACATTCACTCATTTTCGGCCCAAAATCATCATCATTAATAATTGATGATTTTTATTATTGATTCTTATTAGGAGATATCATAACATTAGTTCACCTTTGTGTCACCACTGTAACGTCCTTGCATCGTATTTACCATATTATATGCTACCAACTACAACGTAATCTGTATCAGGTACTAAGCATCATCATCATCTCTACATGCCAAAACTGTGTAGTGTATTACCCCAAAGGCTTCAGTTTCATTTGTTTCATTTTAGCCTATGATATAGGTCAAGAGAAAATAATATACGATTACCATAGAAACAATACAAATGAGTCGAATTTCCCTTAACTTTAGCTTTTTGTGACTGAGACTCCAAAACAAACAGGTCAAGGAGGTTAAAAGAAACTATGATTATCCCAACGAGTCTCAGAGCTGTGCTGTGAAATACAAACAGGAAGAAACTGCTTCAGCTTAGAATATCTCGAGTTAATAGCAAGAGCGCGGATATCAGTATCAAAATTTAAAGAGTAGAGAATTAGATGTTGGCAACATAAAAAGTTTATTTTGTTTCTTAAGCTGATAGTTTTGATGTATAATTTTGAAAACTTTTGAATGAAAACTGCAGAACAGCTTTACGGGCTGTTAAGTTAAGGGCAGTTTCGCGAAACCGGTCCTTAATGTAGTAATTATCCAAAACGCAAACAGGTGATTCAATCGAGATAAAGACAATAATAAGCTTGCTATATTTTGGCACGGGTATATATCTCCTTATCTGCAGTTGTCTCGGGATGAAGAAATGCGGTAATTGAACAGTTAAAATGAAATGTAAACTCCGATTCTTAAATGTGTTGATTCTTCAACGCTTTTTCGTGTTATTCCTCGGAAATGGCTGCAAAAGATGCCCAATTATGTAGTGATTATCAAAAAAACCTTAACAGGTGATTCAATCGAATGAAAGACTACAATAAGCTTGTTAAATTTTGGCACGGATGAATATCTCCTTATTTTTCGTTGTCACGGGATGAAGAAATGCTGCAATTAAACTGTTCAAATGGCTATGGATCTGGATGACGCATGCTACCAACCTTTTTACTAAAGTAAAACAAGACATTGTATAGTTTTAAAAAACATTGGAAAGTTTCTGATCTCACAAATAACAACCCCTGCAGGGATAGGCAAGGGCTATTCATCTGCCAGAGGCTAATGCGTGGTGTAATTTATAATTCCCTCGAAACATCATCTCAACTTCAGTTAACCGTTGGCAACCTGCGGTAGTGCTTCACACCTCAGAAGAAAACTTATTAGAGTCAGCTTAAGAAATAACGGACACTGCTTACCAGGTAGGGACATACATTTTTCGAATCTTAGTTTAAGAAATACCATTTCAGAAAATGCGAGAACAAAGTATGTCAGAAAAAGTAACATAGAAGCGCGCGCCCTCATAGTGGTAGTGGACTATCGTTCTTTCCTGCAGAACGTTTTATACGCCCTGAAATTAGGAAAAAAAAGCTGCCTTTTGATTAAGATTCTCAACAGAAATTTCAATGCAGAAATAATCGAACCTTACCGACTCGCGAAGCAAAATTTCCCACAATTAGCAGTGGATATAAAGATTATTCCGTAGATATA